TGAATGTTTCGCACACTATTTTAGCCTATTAGTATTATTATAATATTTATGGGCACGGCATATGTGATTTTCCCCGTTTTCGTGACCATTATTCCCGTCATCCCCTTTATGTTCAAAATTCCAACAAAACGGGAAAAATTCTCTCTTCTGGCAACGCTGATTGCTATCACAAAGGGAAATATTTCAGCGAAAAAGTTTACCCGCCAAGTGACTCAGGAGTCGAGTTATTACAAAAAATCGTACTTATGATCCAATTTGACTCGTATTCGAGATATGAATTGGTAAGGGCAATACTATTAGAAAAGGGAGGCGCCGGGTGGCACTGGATTCGAGTTATTACTAAAAATATTCAAGTGAGGAAGAGTGCCGTGAATGTCCGACTACATCGACGTGCTGTACCGCCGTGTATGTCGCATTCCCGTGTGTTCTGATTGGCCCAATGGACGTGATTTCCCAATATTGCTGTTCGCTAAAGCTTCATTCGGAGAAACCGGGATTGAGGGTCAATCTGAAATGACCACCGTTAAATCAAACATCAGAACCATTGCGCGACATTTAAGGTATTTTGTCTGAAATAAGTCTATGTATTTTGGATTTTGAGATTGCCACCAACTACATACACTATACAATTTTTAAGGACAGATTCACCATCGAACCGGATCATTTTTTCGCCAGGGGATGGAGAGGAAAAAGTTCTTCAAATTTATTTCGTTGTGCAATTAACCGTGCTCTGAAATGCCAGATCATTGGAGAATTTGAAGAACTTCTTCGCGGACATAACTTTGCTAGGTTATTAAAGACGGCAATGGAAATATGCCTTCTGACAAAAATGTTTCAATAAAAAATATAAATTTTGGGCGGGACGAAGTTCGCCGGGTCTGCTAGTGTTAAATAAAATCTCAAGAAAATAATTTTCCGTTGAAATTTACCCTGGTTGGCATTTGGAAAGGATGAGCATCAGTAAAACAATTTTTTTCCTTTCCTCGAGGTAGGAGAACCTAATATGTTGGTAACGTAACCAGATATGGGGTTTTCAACAAATGGCAGCCAATGAAAACCATGTATGGGTGGGAAGTGAGCTAGCAGATTGATTTCATTTTTCATCTACATATCCGACAGAGTTTGGAAAGCCCACAATGGGAGTTCTAAACAGTGTTTGATTACACAAGGCAACAAAAATGGGAACAAATTTTGTTTCCGAAAATGTTAAAGCTGTTTTTGATTGATTTTTTTGTGCTGGTCATGAATCTGTAAGTTTCCATCAGCTCCAGATTTTGAGAAAAACGAAGTATCAAAAAATCGTTAAAACTCATAAACATAAGGTTTTACATTCGGTGAACCCGAGTCCGAGGTCCGTTAACCTCCATAATGTCAACTTCAAGGTCATTTGAAGGTCAAATAGGACATACAATTTATTAAATAAAAATTTAAAAAAAAAATTGTTTTTGTTGTCACTGAAACCGAGTATGGAGGTCCCTTGATTCCTCAAGGTCATCTGGAGTTCATGCCAAGGTCATCCCAAGGTCAAATTCCGATGAATTTTATTGAATTTTCAGGTTTATTCAGTGAATTTTTCCCTGCATGACCTTCAACTGACCACGAACCTGACGTGGTGGAGACTAACGGACTTCGGATTCGCATTCAACATGTCGAATAACATAGGGATATATAGGTTTGGTTTAATATGCATAAACTTTTTTTTTTGTAAACCTGTGTAATTTTCAATAATTAAATTAGATTTGACAAGGCAAATAGTAACTACTGGTAATACTACCCACCTGAAATTTTTAAAGGTGGGTAATTAAGTTCATTCTTGGTGAGACAGTAGATTTATAATGGTAATTTTGACGAATGCAAACTCAATATCGGTGCATAATGAGGCGCACAGAGCAAAATCCAGGATCTGTGAAAGATGTTGTGCAATTTTTGCGTGAAATCGAATTGTGTGTGGGATTTGTTCCTGAATATGTACGCTTCATTAGATTAGATTCCAGGGTCGTCATGTTCTAACGAGAGGAGCTTTTCTGTTTTGCGTAGGGTGAAAAATCACACTGGATCACAAATTTTAGTTTGGTTTTCGTTCTCCAGAAGCCACTATCCCATTTCTATGTAGAATTGCTCGGTTATTCCGAAAATCAAGTTAATTTTTTTCTATGGATACGTTTTCGAGATATTTGCAATTTACCGTTATTCAGCTTAAAACGAAAAGAGGGTCCACTTAATCACGTATATCTGACAAACCAATTTAATAATCTTAAAAGGAGATACGCCAAATTAAAGCCAATAAAATTCTCTATAAACCATGTATACATCACTTTCCGATAGGACTGATAGTTTATGACAAATTAGTTAATCATTCCACTTTTTTTTTAATGAAAAAATTAAAAAAAATCAAACTTTAACAGAAGAAAAATTTAAAAAATAACAGATTCTGTGCCAAATTTTTCCATTTGTACTAAAACCTTTTCTGTTAAAAAAAAATCAAGTTACTGATGAAGATAATCGATAGATAAATAAGAAATAATGAGTGGTCAAATGAAAATGCGCAAAGATTTTTTGTATGAAATATGAACAGAAAAGCGTGTTACTCAAGTGTAGGTACGTGGCGTATGAGTAGCTTTCTTTCCTGCTAACTCGCTAACTAGGAACTCGCTAACTAAGGAAGCACACAGGAGAGAGCTAGACACAATATATGCTATCGCCAGAAACAATGGATACAAAAAAGATCTGGTGGACAAAATTAGGAAGGACTCGAAGCGAAAAAGTAGGGACAAGAAAGAAAACAACGATGCAGCTTGGGCAGTGTTAACTTTCACGGGTAAAGTGACATACAAACTGGCCAAGGTTTTCCAAAAATTCAACATTCGCACATCGTTCAGAACCAGGAACAACGTCGGAAGGATACTGAACAACAGCACAAACGAAGAGGACACTCTAGATAAGCAGAGTGTATACAAATTAACGTGTGAATGCAAGTGTAGCTACATAGGGCAAACTGGCCGTAAGATTAAAACAAGATGCCGAGAACATATAAGAGACTACAATAAGAGGACACAAAAACCAAGCGTCACACCAGAATCAAACTTCGCAAATCATATGTTCGAAAATAAATGTATACCAATGAAAATTAATAAGGCAGCCAAACTCCTCCATGTACAGCATAAAGGACGGCGTTTGAACATATAGGAAAACATGGAGATATACAAGCAGAAAACATTTCAAGGGAGAATTATAAACGAAAAAACAAACACCGTATCAAGATGTTGTACGAAAAATATGAGAAGACCCCTGAAAAGAAACGCCAACGCAAAGATACATACCTACGCCGCAGAGACCAAGAAAATGAAAATAACGGATTTCTATCTGCCGGCACAAGCAAGCAACCTAATACCTGCTAAATAACGGAACATAAACCGACGCAATCACGAAAACCAAGAAAATAAAAATAATGGATTTCTACCCGCCGGCGAATACAAGCAACCAAAAGGCACCTACCTGTGAGATAATGAAACAAAAGCGGTCGCACTTAGATGGGTATGCATGGCCTAATGACAGTTAAAACAGATAGTAACACGAATACATAAAAAGCGGAAGGAAACACGAACTATTCAGAATGAAAAATGACACTGAAGATGGCACAACACCGAAACCGGTTTGTCTCCAAACCAAATTTGACAAGGGATGACGGAAAATCGTTCCACAATACATCATACTCCTACCATGTCGGAAATACAAACAACCAAAAAGTAGTTTTTTCTTTTTTTTATATACCTTTATTAGAAAAAAAGTCTAAAACAAATATATTAATGAAACAAGTAAGAAAATCTAAGTTCGGGCGGAGCCGAACATTAAATACCCGGCGCAAGTTTAAAAAAAAAATGTTTTTCACCTTTCCGAAAACTACCGGTACATGGTAAGCAGGGATGGCTTTATCCATATTTTAAACATCTTCGATTGAATGTTCAGTTAGAAATAATGAGATAAACTTACATATATAGTCATATGTGGGCGGTATCATGTCCATTTTCCAAAATTCCAAATAATGTTAGTTATTTTCAAGAGATTGTTGTTAGCATCAATTTAGAGTAAATTAGTGTCCTTAAATTTTGAAATATAGAAGTTTCACGCATTTCTGAAATTTACCGTTATATGAAAAGTGGCCGTAATTTTAGTCCGATGTCATTAATTGTCAACTTTTTGCTTTTATGTGGCAAGCACAATAACCATACCGAGTTTGGTACATATTGGTCGAACGGTTACCGAGATACATATAAGTGATCATAAGTGGACGGTGCCACGCCCATTTTCCAAAATTTTATCATAAACGTATTCTGTGCTAAAGAATTATTGCAAACATCACTTTTGAATAAATTGGCTTTAGTATTTACTGATTTACCGAAGATTTCATATTTCTCTAAATTACCGTTATATGGGATATGGGCGTGGTTATTGTCCTATTTTAATAATTTTCAGTCATTTGGTACTTTGTACCAAGGCCAACCCCTGTGCCAAGTTTGGAAGAACCATAAGTGGGCGTGGCTACGCCCATTTTCCAAAAATTTATAATATTCTTATTTTTCGTCTAAAAATTATTTTAAATATCTATTTTGAGTGATTAATTTTCAGTAGTTACTAAAATATCGCAGTTTTCGTATTTCTGAAAATTACCGTTATAGGGAGGTAGGCGTGGTTCTTGTCCGATTTTGCCCATTTTCAATACCATCCGCCTTACACCCGAAAGAAGTGCACGTACAAAGTTTCGTTAAGATGTCTCAATTTTTACTCGAGTTATAGTGTGCACAGACGGACGGACGGACAGACAGTCACCGTTTAATGGATTTCTCTTTTCATTCTGATCATTTATGTATACATTTGTTTATATCTATCTCGATTGGTTTTGCCTGTTACAAACAACCGTTATCTGAACAAAGTTATAATACCCTTGTGCACAAGTGGGCTCGGGTATAAAATAAAATAACATATTTTTGATGTGCGTGGGACTCGAACTCCTGACCATGCGGAAAAAAATATTTCTTTTGGCTCGCTTAAGACTTAATTCTGCCATCAACTGCGCCGTTGATCCGGATTAATGTTTTCGTCAGTCTATGCTTTTAAATCAAATTTATTTTTATACATTAAAATTTGTTTGCTGTATACGTACTTTTTAATCAAGTGCATTTCTTTGGCTTTAAAATCACGTTGTAAACTTCTTCTGAATTGAGAATTCATTCCGCGATTTGAGTGGTTTCTGTTGAACAATCATGCAACTTTATGAGTGGTAGAAGGAAACAATTTTTCTTTCTTTCAGTTTTATCAAGTTATATATGATATACATATTAACGAAAGCCTATTAAAGCTCATCGAACTCATCATATTTTTAATAATTTTATTATTTATCGTTTTATCAATATTTTACGCTTTTAATATCCAAACAATGTCTTGCGGTTACAGTAAAAAATAAGATTCATAATTATTTCCAAATTATTTTAAGAAATTTGGTCACACTGATTATTATGAATAATATGTGAGCCTGTGTACGTTTGTCGCATGAGAAAACCTACAGAAACATTAGGGGTGTTCACGATTTGTAGCTTTGTTGTTGGAAAAGCGCGCTAGATTGCTAAGTAAAAACTTTATACCAGTTTAAAAATGGCCCACAATAACTAGCGCTAGCGGAGTGATCGGATATTTACTTTAGTCGGAATACGAGATTCTAAGACAAATGCCAACAAAATTTCTGAACTATAAAAAATGTTATATGCGATGAAACTTTTTATATGTATCAAATAAATAGCGAAAAATTGTTTACTGCACATTCTTGCATTTACACTTTCATATTTGGAGTTTTTGTTTAGTAAATTTTATTTTTATAGAATTTTCTCTTTGCCTTTCCTTATTTGTTCTTTCTGATCTTTAATTAGTCACATTTTCCTTAGCTATGGAATGTATATTCTACAAATTAAAGCAATACATGTTCGAGGTATCTCTCCCATACCTACGTAAATACACATGTATCTATTTAAAAGCAAGAAAATAGGTGTTGTTATGCTTCCCACTGATTTATTTTTGAACGTATTCTTGTGTATGCAATAAAATTTTCGGTTGTGCAAAAGCCGCATTACGAGATATTTTTTGCTTATCTTTTTTAAAGACATCGAGTGCTTAAACTTTTATATTATGAAGTACGATCTGTTAAATTAATGTTACTCAGTGAAACTTAAAAAAAAAATAAAAATTAAAACAAACAAAACGACAGAAGCGTGAAAGGTGTTGATTTACTGTAAACCGTAACACACGAGTGCCAGATATTTCAATTAAACTCATATATTCCTACTAGTAGTCGCAAATATTGAAAACAAAACAACGTGCTGCACATAGAAATTAATGACTTTACTTCACCAATAAGTCACCACAATAATTGTAATTATTTCTGAAAATTGTGATATTAAGCTAAATGGAAGTTGTTACCCAGCAGCTATTTACTTCTTTGTAAATATACTGGCAATCGTTCTACATACTTTAAAGCTAATAACAAATTTTATTTAACTTTATAATGTGCAAATTCGTATATATATATATGTATATACATACATATATGTACATAAATACATTCATGTGCATATGTACATACATATGTATGCAAGGGAGCATATAAACATTTATACTTCCGAATGTGAATTGATAACGAAAAGTGATAACTTGTTGATTCATTTTCGACTCTAATGTTGTAAATAAGAATGCGTAATATACCCATACTACTTACATTTACATACATAAATATCGTTACACCAAACTTTTTTTTATTTTACAGAAGAAGCAAGGAACATTATAAAGATAATATCAAAAATAGGTTGGGCTTTTCAAAAAGTGGCATGTAACTCCTTTGTTTTTGGTACTAGTACCTTACAATTTTTATTGAATATGCATTTTAATATATCTCTCCAAAATCTTGGAAAAAGCAGTTTCGAAAAAAGTGTTGGTTGGGGCCTTTGCGAATTAAGATAACGCTAGCTTATAGTGAAAAGTTGCTAGGTGCATTTTTTGTGAAAACTTATATTTTTATATCGGAAGCAAGAGAAATTAAAACTGCATCCTCACCAAAAAAATTAGGTACTTGTTATTTTTCTTCCCCTGTTAACTTAATGAAAAGCGAATTTGCTAAATCCATGACAGGACAGGAAATTCGAGAAGATCATTTAAACATGGAATCCTTCTGATTCGTATGGAGTTTTGCTTTGATTTAAACATGCAAAATGTTGTAGTCAAAGTTTTGCAAAATAATTGAAAAGATTGGCTATCAGAAGTATTTTCTTCCCTTCTTAAATTTTAAAAATGGATTGAGCAACTTGGCAGAAGAAATTTAGCATATTTCTTGAACAAATTTCCATAAAAAAAAAATTCTTCTGTAATTATACCCGGGAGCATTTGTGCACAAGGGTATATTAACTTTGTTCGATAACGGTGCTTTGTAACAGCCTAAAGGAATTGAGGTATATGTATATAAGTAGGCATATATATATACCAAAATGCTTAGAGGGAAAAGAGAAATCGATTTAGTCATGTCTGTCTGTTCGTCCACAACATAACTCTAGTAAAAATTTAGATATTTCAACTAAACTTGGTACGCCTATTTAGAGACAGATGGTATTGAAAATGGGTACAATCAGACGATAACCACACTTAGCTACCTCCCATGTAACGGTAGTTCTCATACATACATAAAAAAACAGCGATATTTTAGTGACTGCTGAAACTAATTTACTAGAGTTGAAATTTACAATAACCTTTTAGTAAAAACTGCGATTATTGTAAACTTTTTTAAATTGATTATCTCTGTAACCGCTTTATAAATGTATACCAAACTTTGTACTGCTGTTGGCCTTTGTTCACAATAGCAAAATAGGTTGCAAGTTTTTTTAAATCTCACTATAACGACGCCTACCTCCCATATAAAGGTAATTTACAGAAATACGAAAACTGAAGTAAATCAGTAATTACTATGTAGTAGAGCTCTCGATTTTGTTCGCACATTTTCAAACAGCCCGGGTATATGAGCAGCGAGTACTCGCACACTTGTTCAATGCTCATTACTCGAAAATTTTCGAGCATGAGCTCGAGCGATTCGAGTTTTTTCAAGTAATTTGAGCAATGTTTTTTTTATTATATTGACATTTTTGGTAGCAACTTTTTAAATTTTTCAAATTATTGATATATAATGCAAAGATTGTTACATTGGTATTTAATAATATAATTTATTTAACATGATTTAGAAAGCAGCTGCTGACAAATACAATTTACAAATTTTCTTTTGTTAGTGAAAATGTTCAAAAACTCGAAAATTTTGAACAAACATTTGAGCAGTTGAGCAATGAACGAGTTTCGAGCGAGTATCGAACTACTCGCATTGCTCGATACCCGGGTATCTAGAGCTCTACTATGTAGTACTAGTTCACTTAAAATTGCTGTTTACAGTCTATATATATGTATAAACATATTGTGCTCCTTTGTAACAGTCATAAAAACTCGAGAACGGCTAAACCGATTTGAATAATTTTTTTTGTATTGTTCGGTATAATACCCGGATAATTTATACCACAAAAGTTTGGGGGGCCACCTGTTTGAAAATTTTAAACTCAATTAAATTGATAAAATAAATGGCATACATATTACAATATGGGTATCAGATTAAAGAGATTTAAGAAAGATGACTGATGGAAATATTTTTAAGGAGGGTTGCCACCTATTTTAAAACTTTAACTCAGTTAAATTGATAAAATAAATTGAATATTGCAACGTGGATATAAAACTAAACGGGTTTAAAAAAGATAACTGCTGGAAATACTTTTGAGGAGGGTTGCCACCTAAAGTAAAAGAAATATTGCCATATGGGTGTCAAACTAAAAAGTTTTAAGAAGGCTTACAGCAGAAAATATGTTTTAGGATTGTTGCCACCTGTTTGAAAATTTAACTCAATTTAATTAATAAAATAAATGATATGTCATACAATATACATAGGTATCCAATTAAAGGCGTTTAAGAAAGATGATTGTTGGAAATATTTTTGAGGAGGGTTGCCACCTATTTGAAAATTTTAACTGAGTTAAATTGATAAAATAATTAAAATAAAGTGAGGTCGCGATAATAATAACATCCTAACATATAAACATCCCAAAATATGAACACTTTTTCGCTACCATTGACTACTCTAAAATATGAACTTTAGGCAAAAGCTCCAAAATATGAACATTATTATTTTACAAAATTTCTAACGAATTTCAAGCGCTTGGTAATTTGGAGAACCCCCTATTTATTTGCATTGAAAATGTCTATACGTGCTTACAGTGAATAACTTTAATATTCGGGTTTCTTATTGTTAAATATGCCTCTTATACTAAATTTCTTTCCCATTATAATTTTACCAAATATTTGCAAATAAATGCATAAATAGCTTTATAAAGATAACTTTCACGTTTTGGCATATAATTTATTATTCCAGCAAATCACACTTAGTATAGTGGATGCTGTTGTGCTATCCAAATGCTGGAACAATGTTTTGAATATGGTCGAAATTGAAGATTATTTTGAAAATGAAATTCCATTGAGTATCCTTCGAAAAAACTTAAATATGAATTTACCGGATTTGGAGGAAAGCGCAGCCAATCTTTTACAAAACCTGAGTCCTGCGGTTTGTGTTTTCAGAACTGTAAACTCTAAAAGATTTATTTATTAAATTTCACTCCACGAATAATGCTTTCAACGTTAGAGAATGGAATGAGGATGCTACTGAATGCAACGACAATGAAATATAAGAAATATCCTACGAAGATGATGTACCGTGGAGCCACAAAAGGCGATTTAATGGGCGCGTTCATAAGACGTAGCTGTTTCGTAACCGTTGGTTATTTGTCTTAGAAGCGCACAGTTGAGTAGTTCCGCTCAGCTGCGCCATTTTTTCCAGCGGAAAATGTATACGCTACCTGAACTCAACGTATTGGGCTTTGCCTAAACAACTGATCGAAAAGACTTACGCCGCTTATATTAAATTTAACGCCGCTTTGTTAGGTGCCAGTTGAAAATAATTTATTCTATTTTATATTACTTTATGTAACGATGTTATATTTCATTTCTTCTCTAATTTTAATATAGGCTTGATAGCATAATATGGTAGAATAGTTGTATAGCTGGGGTGCCATGGACTGAAAAGCAATAATACGTTTTTGGCACATCAGGTGTTTTTATTTATATTAAAATATCTCCAATAAATTAAATAATAGTAGAAATACCAACGTTGTATTGTAATAACTTAATGTTAACTATCTAATTTCTTACGAATAATAACTCTAATATTATTCCACAGCATGTTTTTAGTACTTCAAAACATCTATTAACATAGATGCATTTTCCAATGCAATTAACATACATTTTATTATCGATAAAGAGTTGGGTTTTATTTTAAGGCATTCTTGTTTATTGTCATTGCAAAAGCTAAGCGAACTGGAAACTGAAGCTTTTTAAATTGGAAAGGCATATTAGAAGGAATTAAAGGGGTCACGTGACTTGTGGTTCCGAAGTTATGGCTGAAGAAAACGTCCACGCCCATGTTATGTGCTACGCCCCTTTTACAAACTCATTTATATACATATACCTTACTATAAGCACCTACCATAGATATGTTTGCATTCCAAATTTCAGGTTCATGTTACTTATGGGTCCGAAGTTATGGCTGATTAAAAATTCCATGATTATGAGATGAGCCACGCCCTCTTCTACAAACTCATTTATTTTTATCATACTATAAGAAGCTACCATACTAAATTTCAAGTTCATGTCACTTATGGTTACGAAGTTATGGCTGATTAAAACTTCAAAGCCTACTGGATGTGGCACGCCCCCTTTTATAAACTCATTTATATAAGCCTTGTCATAAGCACTTACCATAGATATGACCTCATATCAAATTTCAAATTCATGCGACGTATGGTTCCGAAGTTATAGCTGAAACAAAATTCCACGCCTGTTATATGCCACGCCCCTTTTTAAAAACTAATTTATATATACCTTACCATAAACGTCTCCTGTAGACATATCTTCGTACCAAATTTCAAGTTTTTATGACTTATGGTTCCGAAGTTACAGCTGATTAAACATTTGCAGGCCTATTGGAGGGGCCACGCCCACTTGCGAAATTTACGACATTTTTGCAAATAAGACCATACCTATAACCTTTCCGGGGTAAAAACAAATAAGTCTGCAAAGTTTCGTGCGATTCCATGTCGTGGTTAA